CACAAGGGGCGAAATTTGTGCGTCGTATGAATTTAAATAAATCTTCCCACTTAACTTGTATGGGATGATATCGTCTAATGAGAGAGATTGATCTTTCTGAAGATCTATTGTCATCGGCACATGGGAGGGGAGTGGGTCGATGAAATCCACAATTCTAAAGTGTTGATCGAAGTCATGGACAAACGCAACTTGGACCTCAATAAGGATGTGGCATAGTTTAACCCAATAATGATCTCTCATTAGTTGATCCCTCCTTTCCTTTGGGATGATTTTCTTGGGTTGCAATGGGTAAATTATTACATGTGAAGAATCCGTAGAGGTTGCCCAATATTATTTTTTCCATCCATCTATCTGAGCTTTGTCCTTCTCAAATAGACAGAGGATGATGAAGACTGTTGGAGTGATCGGCTGTATGAGGAAGAACTCCGAAACAACTTCACTGCGTTTCATTTCCTGTAGTTTTTTGCAGATTCACTTGATTTTATCATTTGTAGATCGGTAGACTGCCTTGTCATAAAAGATCCAATTATTAGCATGTCCAACATAGATGTCATCCTTTCTGGCCAGCTTCTCCATCAGGTAGGATTTCATAAGCATTTTCCTCCCTCCTTGATCTATAACCTTCTGTTCAGAGGGAAAAAGGAAAAGGGAGAGGAAGTATCTTCTGCATACCAGGTGGTCCAACAGGTGGTCTTTGTATATTCAGAGTCTTGTCTTGCATGATCTGCCTTACCCTTTGAGCCCATGATGGGGCCGTTTGAGACGAATGAGAAGCATGGGTGCTCCCCTCACTGGACAGAGTCCGAGTGTGTCTATTAGTAGATAAAATCTGTTCCAGTTTCTTCTCTTCTATTAGCATCTCCTCATCCTTCTGAATCCCGGTTGTCAGGTTGGCTTCTTCTTGTGAGGTACTTGATTGCTCTTCCTTTTCTGTCGCAAATGTTTTTCCAGGTGTGGGTGCTTGTGGGCTGCTTGGACCAACCAGTTGCACACTGTGTTCCCGGAATCTGAGATATGGTCCTTTTCTCGAAATCTGAGACAGTTGATCACAAACCCCTCTGCCCTTCCTGCGGAAGGGTAATGAGTGAGTGGGGTCCTTCTGATTGATTCTGAGCCTTTGAACCAATTTTGGGATCAATCACCATAAGTGTTGTTCCTTTTGAAGCTTTATCGAATTCCTTCTTACCATTGACTCGACTTTGACCAATCATTGCTACGTGCTCAACACCTGGTCTGCTGCACGGAGAGGGGTTGAGTTGTCTCATCACATTATGTCTTATCGCCCCTCGATAGAAGAGTAGGGAACTTCCTTCTCTAACTCTCTTTGAGGGGATTGAATTGATTCTCATCATCTTAGTTATTCCTCTGTACAATTTCCAAGGTTTCCATAGCTGTGATGATGTTATCCAATATGGATCTGCCCCTGACGAGAGCAACTTGATCTCTGTCTACTAGCTCTGGAAAGACCCTTGATAATCTTCTTGCGAGTGCTTTCGCCAAGATCTTGTACGAAACATTGAGTAGGGAAATCGGGCGCCAATTCTTGATGTCTACCTTGCTACCCTTCTTGTATAACACAAAAATGATTTCGTAGGACATGTTTGGTGTGAGCGAGCCCCCTGACAGCACTCCATTATATAAATACCGAGTGTGGACCCAGCACCTTCCAGTGAGCCGTGTAGAACTCAATTGGAAGCCCTTCGCTGCCGGGGACCTTGCCATGAGCCAAATGGCCGTGTGGTAATAATATGAGCATAGCTTTCTTTTTTTGAAAAAACAAGAAAAAAAAAAGTTCACGTCACACAGGCGGGAAGGGACCATGGGCCTCGCCGCACTACTCTAGACTCTCGAAATACCCCCCGTCACTGCACTTACTGTAGAACCAGTTACACTAGCTGCACTATCGAAACCCAGGGCGTCGTCGGACTCGACAGAAGACATGTACCACTACGCTAGGGACAACGCCAGGCTGGTCTGGCTGCCAGGACAGGAGGTCCACTCTCGAAAAAAAGAACCAGTTGGCGGGCAACTCCCCAGGACACTTGCGAATTCGTGTTTTGCAGGCGGGCGACTCTCGACGTTTCGAGAGTGGCAATGTAGCGTGCCTTCTGACAGCTCTCTATCGGGTTTCAAGAGTTTTCCGATCGAGAGTAAGTGCAGCGACGACCCACTCTCGAGAGTCCAGAGTAGTGCACCGAGGCTCCATGTCCCACTAGCTCCGTTGAGCTAGGTCAAGGTTTGGTCTTGATCGGATTTCGAGAGTTTCCCGATCGAGAGTAAGTGCAGCGACGACCCACTCTCGAAAATTCGAGAGTCCAGAGTAGTGCAGCAAGGCCCCATGTCCCACTAGGTTTGGTTTTCCACGCTGTGTGACTGTATGCGACAATGGAGATGCACGTCGTCCAAGGTCCGTTTTTAATAAAAAAGGCAATAGAGACTATGGTTGCTTTTTCTTACAACAAAAAGCACAAGTAAATCCATTCTCTGGAATACTACTCCCCCTACCCTGGCCACTTTCAGTTGAGCTAGCTGTCTCCTTTTTTCGAGACAGCTAGCTCAACGACCCTTCTTGTTCCCCCAAAAGGCGTTTTTGTAGAGAAACTGTACCAGCCGCCTTCCGTTTTGTTTGCCATTTTTGTACGAGATTCTGGCAACTCTTCATTTTCAGAATCTGCCCGTATGCCACTCCAATTGTGAAAAAAGAAAAACCAGAACAATTGTATCCGTGCCATTTATAAATGCATTTCTCATTTGAAATCAAATGAGAATTAGAATGAATATTTTCAGCTGTCGCACAGTTGAGTTGCCTCAACTAAACGGTGCTAGTGGGACAAGGTCCGGGGTGCAGGCTGTATCCTGGGCCAAGAAACGACAAAGCAGCTTTTGAGAGCGAGATGCTCCACACGATCGGGGCTCTACACGTAGCGCATGCCGCACACTTGCGGCTGCGGGCTGAGGCGGGCGACGCTTGGCGCCACCACACATCGTTTCGTTGGATTCCCAGCTTCTTCACCGCCGTCGCACTCAGCGTACGAAAGGACGGACAGTGGGTGCGAGACTGTGCGACGGCGGGGCGGCATGGTGTCGACCTGTTTGGGTGTACGAACAGATCCCATGCATCGGTCGATGGGATCCGTCCGTACGGCGTACGAGGGTCGATAACAGAAGCAAGCAGCTCGGCGGGAGATCGCTTCAGCCGCGAAAAGTTGGCCGGGCCGACAAGGCTGCATGTCCACAAAGCCAGGAGGGATGTGTACAAGGCCGCATGTGGACAGAGGCACAAGTGACACGGGAGACATGGACAAGGCTCCATGTCCAGAAGGCCACAAGTGCCACGAGGGACGTGTAAGAAGAAGTTCGGCAGCTCTTTGAGGAAGGGACGCGGCAGCAACACGGTCGGCGATTTCCACGGTGTTGTCGGCTGTGAGAGTGTGACTGTGTGACTGCGTGACTTTGTGACTATGTCACTGTGTGACTGTGTGACATTGGTCAGACCATGTGACTGTGTGATTGTGGACTCGCACCGTTGGCCCCATTCACGGCCTCGGGTTCTTGATTGGTGGCCGTTTCATAGATCGACTAATTAGTGGTCGAGTAAGTAGTGGGCAACTGATTGATTGATTGATTAACGGCTTGATTGGAATCTCTTGACGACGAGTCGTCCTTCTGCTCCTCTAGGCTTAATAGGCTTAATTATTCGCTCTTCAGAAGAAAAAAGAAGAAAAAGAAGAAACAGAAGAAGTTCGGGTTTTTCTTCATCATGTCTGTGATCCCTTGTTATGTTTTCTTGGGACCCATTTCGCGATTTATGTGAGTCATTCTTGAGTGCCCAGTGGGCATGCTAATCTTATCTGTATCGTTCCAATTTTAACGGATGTCCAACGACATCTCCGTTGAGTTGTCTGAAGGCTTCGCTTCGTTTCTGGCCATACGTCGAGGCAGGTCACCGACGTGCCGTTCTGAGAGCCAAAGCCAGTGCTTCTGCTTCTTCCACGTTGTCGTCGTTGAAGGCTTTGCCTCCATAGCCAGAGGCCTTGCCCGGCCCTGCCGTTCACTCGTCGCACGAGTTCTACGCCAGTGAGTTGTGCGACATTTGTTGCCGGGCGAGGAAGTCCTCGTCCACATAGTGAGGGCTTGCCGCGCGCCGTCGGTCATTTGTCGCTCGTCTTCTGTGATTTGTGCGACATGTATCGTCCGGCACATCTGTCGCGAGACGGACAAATATGCTGTGTATGGTAGCAATACCGGACTTAGTGCCCACGGCGAGCGCCGCCGCACATCGTGCGCAGTGAATTCCGGGTCAAAGGTTTCGGGCCAGCAAAGGAGAGCACAAACTAGTAACTAATCATCATCATTTTAGATAGAATTTTGCTGGGCGCACTGACAAGAGGCGAATCTCTACAAAAGCGGCCAACCCTGTACTACCGTGTCCGTGGCATTTGGCCTCACCTCCGCTGTCGTCTGACCCGGGAAAGTGCAAAGGAAAAGAGATTCGACACTGAACTGCACGTCCAGCCTTGTGTGTCAGTAATGCGTTTTTCCACTGAGGACATGGACAGCCGGGGGCTGACGCGGATATGAGACGACGACGACGACGGCGGCCAGCCACGTGGCGTTACGCACTGGCTGCGCTCCGTCAAGCTGTCGGCTAGAACTCGTGACACTCAGAAGACAGCTCCTTAGTTGTTCGTCTCGACTCGTGCGTCCGAGAGCGACAGAGAGAGAGAGAGAGAGAGAGAGAGAGAGAGAGAGAGAGAGAGAGAGAGAGAGAGAGAGAGAGAGAGAGAGTTAAGGAGGGCGAGGGCTGATGAAGGTGATCGTGCCCGATATCTTATTTTCGATTTGGTGAGCGGCAGGACCAGCTGTCGAAAGGGAAGAGGCAGGAGAGAAGGAAGGGAGAGGATAGAAAAGTGCTTGAGAGAAAGAGGTAAGAGTGAAAGACTGGGGCGGCTGCTGCCAATTAAGAGTTCATAATAAGCTTAATTGGACCGGGATTGGGATTACATGTGAGCAACCCGACTGCCGCTCACGGGTTGTGAACGAATTTGAGTGAGCCGCACGTGCGTCTACCACTTCAGTGGTGCGGTAACTGCGATGGCGGCGCACGGAATGAGTGGGGGGGGGCTGACGCACGTGCTTGTGCCACGTGGCAACGTTGCTGTGCGGCTACGGCAGTCCGGCTGCTGCGGCGAAATCCGATCCGTCGACTGCGCAACAGCTCAGGTCAAATCACAGCAGACGGTGGTTAAAAACGAGCAGGTAATGGGCATATCTTCCCTCTCCCATTCTCATTATCGGCATTGTCGTCGGTCATCTGCTATCTCCAGGAATGGGAAGGCGAGTGATGGGGGTGGTCGGTATCTTACAGATGTATCTAGCCGAGAGCGAGACGGTTCGCACAATCGCTGCGCAGGTCAGCGGCACGATTGGCGCTCGTCTAGCAACCAGCTGTCGAACGGTGGCGCTTGTTTAGCCGATGCGACTTTGTCAGGCTGGCATCGTCAGAACGAAAACGATGCAGGGCGGCAATCCCGAGGAGGAGGAGGAGGAGGTAGTCTTCCTCCTCCAGGTGTGTCCGTTTCGATCTCATCGTCAGTACCCATGTCGTATCGGACCTCTTGGGCAGTATCAAGGTGCTCATCGGTTGCGTCCACGAGGCATTGGCTCCCAGCATCACCTGTCGTAGAGATGGGCGAATCTCGCGAGTCGATATCGCGCTCTCCCTCCGCTCATCCCCCTCTCTTGGCTTCGTCTTCCAGGTCAGCTCCAGGAGGATTGACGTCGGTCTCGAATGCCCACGTGGGGGGATCGCTCTCATCATCCGCGCGGGTAGGCATATCTCGCCGCCGATGTCCACGTGGCAGCAGGGGGATGGCGATGGCCAACATGGCAACGCCGTTGAGCCGCCCGGATTCCGGTTGTGAACTGTCGACGAGGGGGAGATTAGGCCGATCGAGTCGAAGGAGAGGGGGTGGGTGGGTGGTGTGGGAAGAGGAGGAGGAGAGGGAGGAGGCAGAGGGTGTCCTCGGCCGAAGCTGGAGTCCAATGCGGACGAATGCAATGAGCACAGGGTCGTCTTCAGCTTCAGGGGTCGGGGAGATGGAGGAGGCTGATACTGCCATTGCGAGCAGGAGTAGCGATGGCGGCGGCGGAGGTGAGAGTGTGGTAACAACGGAAGAGAAGGAGGAGGGAGGAGGAGGAGTAGGAGAGTTGGGAGAGGGCACTGTCGATCAACTGTTTGAGGTGCGCACACTGAAAGATCAATTGGAGGTTGAAGCGGAGGTGGAATTGGTGCAGCGAGAACTGATTCTCGTCACAGTTGAGTACGAACAGAAGGTGAAAAAAAAGCTGATTCTTTTTCGGGGAATAATTCAAGATATCCAGAGAAGGTTGCCCCATTATCTCAGCGATTACACAGATGGTCTGAATCTGAAGACGGCAGCAGCTACTCTCTTCCTCTCGTTCGCTTGCTTGACGCCCTGCGTGGCCTTTGGAGGGTACGTTCTGACCGCACGACTCGCCTAGCACGTCCTTGCCTTGTTGC